AGATGTGAATAGTTCAATTAAAAGCAGCGGCAAAAAGAAAAGTCTTCAGCCTGGATTTAAAAGTAGTAAGAGTTGCAGCGGACCTGCAGGTTTCTGGGAGTTTGTTCCAGATGTTTGGAGCATAAGAACTGAACTAATAACTGGTACCATAATCAGTGTTACCTACAGTCAGCCCTTTAATGAAAACCACTGAAGCAGTCATCTATACCCTCTTTAAAGCTATCACACTAGCAGGTCTACCATTTCCCCGATCAGTTAGTCTGTTTTGTGTTAGAGAGTCTTCCAGGAAGTTAGTAATCCCAAGGGGGTGACAAAACCCATGAGATTTTTCCAATAGATTTCGGAATATTGCGGATGTAAGATCTGTGGCAAACATGTTTATGATACCTACAGGTTTCGTTCGGCAGGATAATCTCCAGATATTAACACCACTTTATGTGTAAATGCAATCTAGGAGTAAAAAGCGCTATATATGCTAGAGGGGGTAGGACCAGAAACGTTTTTTTGAAGCTTCTTCTTGCCCCTGTTGAACATGACAGACTATTTGAGAATTATTATTGTATTTCTTTTTTTTTTTTTTAGTATTATTTTGTTTTGTATTTTGTTATAATTCTTAATTTGAGTGAGAAAAAAAGGAAAAAAGAGAATATATATATTATTGTTGTTGTATGTTTTTGTTTCTGACATGTTCAATAAATGGACTAATAATAATAAACAGACTACATCAAGGTTGCATGACTTCACGTCACCACCGCTAAGCTGAGGGCATATGGACATTTGTGCAACTTCTAGATTAAATAAGTGTTTTTATAAAGTAGTCAGGGATTTGAAAAAAGTTACACAACGGCTTCAGTTGTCATTTAAAAAGAACAACAAGAGCAAGAACTCATTCTAAAAATAGCGTACACCTCACCTTTGATAAAGTGGTTGAAATATGTTATTGCTTGTCAACAGGGATACATTGCTTAGCTTCTAATCTGGCACTGCAGTACGCTTCTCTAAATCGATGGCATGCAGGCAACATATAACCCAACTTCAATCCCTTTCTTAATAAACCCGTCTAGAGTTCATTGGTGCCCTTACTCTTGATCATGTTGACGTCGTTGGCTCCGTCTCCGATGGACAGCGTCACGGCTTTCTTGTACTTCTTCACCAAACTCACCACGTTACCCTTCTGCTTGGGAGTGACGCGGCAGCAGATGACCGCCTCGCACTCACAGGCCATGTCCACAAAGTCGATCTGCGGAGACACGCCACCATGTTCCTTATCATGTCAACCATGGATGATGCGCTGGCCTATCTATACTTTTTTATTTTTTGCATTTTAAGAAAATATTCACAAAGCATACACAACAAAATAAACACATCTAGGTACATAGATTAACTACATAACAGATGACAAGTATGAAAATAAATAATAAAATAATATTACGAATAAAATAATGGATACACTGTTAATACTCAGGTAAATATTAATTATATTGTTCTATACTTGACCCACCTTTCCTCAAAGATATGCATTTGGTTTGTCTTCTCTGTTTCCTTATGTAACTTGCAGTACGGTTATTTCCCTGGTATCTATGTTTACTTCTACCCCTCTTTTTTTTTTCATTTTTTTTTTCATTTTTTTTTTATGCTGGCATTTTACCATTTGTAACTTTTTGATTTAGGTCTTGTTTATAATGTGATCATAGCCCATACGGGTGAGGGTGGGGGGTGGGAGGGAGGGGTGAGGTAACTATTTAATTTTCCTACAGACCATCTTCTATACATGTGTACCTACTGTATTGCCATTGTGATGTCTGTCAAAAAGCCAATAAAAAGATTTTGAAAAAAAAAAAGATATNTTCAACATGGCGCGCTGAAATCCATTTCCGGGTCACAACCGAAGGACCGAGGAGTCGAGGAGGGGAAATTAGAGTATTGAGAAACCTCTCAAGTATGCTTGACATTGGAACAGTCCTTCGGCTGCACTCGATGACGTAGTATCCTTGAAATATTGGCTTGGAAGCCAGTTTCCTCGCGATTGAGAAACGGGCATTGACTCTGTCCACCTCTGATCCTCTGCCTCTCTGTCTCCTCTCTCTCTCTCAGTGAAGTTTCCTGATGGTCGTATCCGCCTCTACTGCAAAGGAGCTGACACCGTCATCTACGAGCGACTTTCCCCTCAGTCCAAACACAAAGAAACTACCCAGTCTGATCTGGATGTGAGTTTGCTTTATTCTCATTCGCACTGTTACATTCCTCCTTGAAGCTGTTTCTGTGGAAGAATCCCTGATTTCTGATTTCTGATTGTGTCGTTTGTGCTTCAGGTCTTTGCCAGCGCCACCCTGCGGACGCTGTGCTTGTCTTACAAAGACATCAGCACGGCAGATTACGAAGCCTGGTCCAGGAGACACAAAGATGCGCAGGTCTCCATGTCGGACAGAGACGCCGCCCTGGACATCGTGTACGAGCAGATCGAGAGCAACCTGATGGTGAGTGGAAAACCAATATACATAAAACTATATCATTTTAATAATACATTTTATTTCTATAGCGCTTTTCTTGAACCCAAAGACGCTTTTGACCTGGATTGCAATATTATTCACATAATTGGATCATTAAAACGATAATGGTGTTTTTTTTTATTTAACCTTCTATTTATCAGAATCTGTACCAAATAATTATGGTTTTTTTTGCAGTAAAGGTTTTTGGAATCCACTCATTTCTAATAGTGTTTTTTTTTTTGTTATCTGTAAAAGTAAAACTCTTATTCTCAGCCATATCTAACCAGCCGTGTTTGTTTCTCTGCCAAGCTAATTGGTGCGACGGCCATCGAGGACAAACTGCAGGATGGAGTCCCAGAGACCATCGCTAAACTGGCCAAAGCTGACATCAAGATCTGGGTCCTGACTGGAGATAAGAAAGGTACCATCAACTCTGCAGAGAGCTACGGAAGAGGATTAGGGCCACATTATCTATTTTTTTGGGAGGATTTGAAAAAAAAATTGTTTTTTTTTGTTCTGAGAAAAAAGTCAGAATTCTGACTTTAATCTCAGAATTCTGATTTATCCTCAGAACAAAAAAACATAATTTTTTTTGGGAGAAAAAAAGTCTGAATTCTGACTTTAAAGTCAGAATTCTGAGAAGAGTCAGAATTCTGAGATGAGTCAGAATTCTGAGATGAAAGTCAGAATTCTGAGATGAAAGTCAGAATTCTGAGATTAAAGTCAGAATTCTGATTCAGATGAATCGGCTACAACTGAAGTGCCATGAGTTCACCTCTTAGTTTAATGTGTTTTATCTTTCTCCATAGAAACGGCCGAGAATATTGGATATTCTTGTTCCCTTCTGACAGACGGCATGCAGATCCACTACGGAGAAGACGTCAAGTGAGTAGAAATGTCAATGCTGAAGTCATTTGTTTTTGATGTCTAAAATAATTTTAAAAAAAAGAATTGCTGGCAAAATGACCACTGCATAGCATCTCATTTGAAAATGGTCAAATCAACCCGCCTCTCTCTCCCTAATTTCTTTACTGAATCCCTTCTCAGCTTAAAATGTATGATCTCAGTCTTCCTTGTTGACTTGTGTAACAGTTTGTCTGTTGTTTCCGTGTCTCCAGTGAGAAGCTGAGTATCCGTCAAGAAAACAGGAGGAACGAACTTCCAACTTCCCGTCGAGGGAAAAAGAAACCCGCCGAACCGTTCTTCACCCAGCCGGGGAAAAACGCTCTCGTCATCACCGGAGGATGGCTGGTGAGTTCATCTCGAGATTATCACTGTTTTAAAAGCTATTCATTTTAATAGACTTTAACAAGTGTAAATGTGAAATGTTATCCTACATTATAATATCCAACCACTCCACATGATGGACGGTTCTGAGTTGATTCAGTTTTTGGTTTTTTTCAAAATCTTTTTATTCAGTTTTTTGCTGACATGGCAATTTCAGCACATGATATAAAGTACAGGACAATTTGTCTGTTAAAGGAAAGAAAAATACCCAATCCCCAACCCATTACGTCATGGTCACAGAAAATAAATAATACATGAAATAATAAATACAATAAAATAAATAACTCGCATCACAGTCACAGGGAACAGGAATACAACAACATTCACATTGAGTAGAATAATATATAACAAAAAAATTATTAATTCTTTTTTTATTTCTCAGAATGAAATTCTGTACGAAAAGAAGAAGAAACGCCGTCGCCTGCGTCTGCGGCGTCTGGGAAGGAAAGCCCCTCCCACCATCCCTACTGACGGAGAGCCAATGGACGACTTGGAAAAGGAAATGAGACAGGTACAGTATAACTCAATAGATGAATGGATTCAAGTACAGATACATGTTAAGTAGAATGACACAAGAGACAGAGATCCTCTCATTTAATGGGAAGGAGCAAAGGTTGTTCTAAGGGCTGAAATAATATCCTATGCCTCGTATAGGAAAACACAAAATGAAAAAGCAAGGTAATCAGTCGATATGAATGTAATGGAGGAAACAACTATGAGAATTAAAAATCAAATGCATATCTTTTTTTTTTTCAAAATCTTTTTATTGGCTTTTTGACAGACATCACAATGGCAATACAGTAGGNTAATTATGAACTTGCTTTACTTTTACGGAACACATTTTTGGTGATAACAAATGTAAGAAAGTAACATATTTACCAACACATGTTCTACGCCACTACATACTTACATTTAAATGTGTGCTGCGTTGGTTCGTATGTAGTGGCGTAGAACATGTGTTGGTAAATATGTTACTTTCTTACATTTGTTATCACCAAAAATGTGTTCCGTAAAAGTAAAGCAAGTTCATAATTAGATAGACATCGTGAGGTATTTATTTTCGGTAGAGTTTATGTTGAAACCGTTAGAGAGAGTGGCACACTTGTTAGCCGGTTCCATTCCTCTTTGTTTTCTGAAGCCGTGGCTTGGAAGCATACTTGCTTCGTTTCTGAAGGAAGTGACTTGGAAGTACACTACTACCACCAAGCCAGCATCCTCGCAATTGAGAAACGGCCAATGTTTGAGTATTTAACTTTGGTTAGGAAGAGAGTGTCAAGTTATGATTTGGTTTGCTAGATTGACTCCTGTCTAAACTTGAAAATGGCTTGATTCACTCCAAAAGGGACAACTCAAATTTGAATCTTTCCTCTTTATTTAAGTTATTGTAGACTTATTTTTGCTTAATTCAGCCTTCATTTAGCTTCCTGATGCATCATTTAGGTTGAAAACCTTTAAAACAAAAACACACTTTCATTCACTTTAGGCAAAAAAAGATTTCAATGAAAAAAATGCCATAATTAAGCACTTTCCTTTCTGCTCGATAGTTTTAAATGTAATTAAGTTACAATTAAACTTAAAATTTAATCAAAAGTAAATTCATCTCAACAGAGTAAATTATATTCCAGCTTCTTATATTGTAGCTTAATACCTCATAAGACTAGAAATAATAATTAATTTAATCAAACATATCTTCAAAACAGATAAATACATTTACAAATCTATTAACAGCAATGTCTTTGGTCGAATCCTTGAGTCTCCTCTCCTCTGGTTCAGGAATTAGTCATAAAACTCAGAAATGTGTTATGACATTCATCTCCCCAACTTGTCGTACATATTACAATTTGGTCAAAATGGTACCCAGCAGGTTTTCAGTAGCTGGCATGTCACTACTTATACTCCACCAGATTTTTCAGTTTTTGGGGGCTATATAAAAAAAAAAACTGGCCCTAGTTTTTATGTAACTTGGTGGTAATGTTTAGCATCGGCCAAGATAGAACGTGGGTGAAAACAAAATGTTTATATGCTCAATGTTCACTTTCATTAACATTGGGAGATTTGGACTTTGGAGTGCACTTCTAGTTATGTCTGCTATAATAGCTACTGTACTGAAACATAACCTAGAATAACATTTGTCTGTTTGTGAGGTAGCATGTGTGTGTGTGTCCACTTACATATGATAGACATGCGTTTGCGGTCGGAGTTGAAGTCGAGCATCGCCAACATCTCGTAGGTGGTCTCCTGATCCATCTCCCTGATGGTGATGGTGTCCTGCGTGCGGGACAGAAACACAAAGCCAAAGTTCCTGGCTGCCGTCACCAGGGCGCCCTCATCGGGAGACGCCGCCTGGTACACCAGCTCGCCTGAGAGACATTCAAGATTTATGATTTCAAAGGATTTATATTCATGTGCACACTTTCTACAGGTGATGGTAGTGAAAATCTGTTACTAGTGAGGCAAACATATATAATGCTCTTTTTCAGGTTTATAAATGAGAAACTCGCTCTGGAGGGAACTTTGGGATTAGAGCCTTTGCATCAGAATACCTGTACCAGTCCCACAGAGGGGAAATTGACATTGTTACAGCAGAAAATAACCAAAGACAGCTTAATGTTACTTAAGCATGCATAAAAGCAT